AAACGGCAGACAGCATAACTCAGTAAGCAATCTACCTCTGCTGACTTTTTATGTTCTGTTTTCTCCTGATGCAGTTTATTTATGAAATAAGATTCTACATAACTTCATTCTATTTCAAGAGGAGGCATCACCCTGTAGCATATGCGATTTAATGATGGTGGTCCTGTTGATTGGTTTTTCCATAAAGGAGACCAAACCTGATATTTATATGACATTTACTGGATAAAGCATGTTACTTTCATGCTAATTGAAATTTTGAATCTGGAATAATGGTGTATAGAAACATATTCATCTACCTAGGTAAACCGTAGTTTAGGGTGAAAACTCCCGTGTCAGATGCATTGAAGGCAGGACGCATCCTTCTTATCTCATACCGCTCCCCACTCGCTTGCTCAGTGATTCACTATTGGCTCTCACTGGCCATGAAAGATTTAAACTTTGGTACTTCAAACCTCAGGTCTCGACTTATATTAGTCTTCATTTGTCAATACCAAGTTTTTATTGTTCCTTGTTAGTCAATGTCAATGGTATTGATGCTGGATTGGATACAGGACATGGGTCGTTGGTTGCTTAATGTTTGCGTATTCCAAAAAGATCATAATTGTTCATGACACAGTTTGAGATTGACACATGAGAGCATAACAATGCAAAAGAAGCAGATGAGAGGATCCAAATCCTCTGCTGCTTGTGGTGTTAAATTGTAAAACAGTGCAAAACTGATATTTATATGACATTTACTGGATGAAGCATGTTACTTTTATGCTATTTGAAATTTTGAATCTAGATTCATGGTGAATAAAAACATATTCATCCACCTAGCTAAACTGTAGTTTGATCACAAGTTAGCTATTTTTTATTGTTTTACCTCGATATAACTTTCAGATTAACTTTGGTACTTCAAACCTCAGGTCTCGTTATATTAGTCTTCATTTGTCAATGCCAATATTATATTGTTCCTTGTTAGTCAGTATCAATGGTATTGATGCTGGATTGGATACAGGACATGGGTTGTTGGTTGTTTACTGTCGGTATATTCCAAAAATTCATAATTGTTCATGACACAGTTTGACATTGACACATGTGAGCATTGCAGTGCAAAGGAAGCAGACGAGAGGATCCAAATCCTCTGCTGCTTGTGGTGTTAAAAGTGTAAACTAGTTTTCTTTCGAAACTAATATTTTATGCAAACACACAATGTGTTAAGACAGGTAACAGTGGTTAGAGTTCTAGCTAAAGACCTGCTAAAGTTCATAAATTAGACAAAATCTCAATTCACTATAATACGACTGTCGACAAGTAATTTAAGTTGTCATATTAGTCACATTTGACATGTTTTTGGACAATTTTATCCTCGTATACTTTCACTTTTATTGTGAGGGAGTTTCACTGGTTAGGATTCATTGATATTGATAGGGATAGTTTAGACATGTTACACCCAATGTTAACACCCGTTTTGACATTTTTTCAGTGGTTCAAGGAGATCTTGTATAAAACTGAAACTTCAGAGAGGACTTTCTCCATTTCATAAAGCTTATGGAGGATTCGTGAACAACCCAAAGCTCAGGGCGGTTTGTCAAATTTACTCTATATTTTGTGATGCATGTTTGTCAATGAAAAGTGAAGATAATCGGTTTATCCACTGTGCTAATCATATTTCATCATCGCAATAGACGCTGTTTGTGTTATCAGTTTTTTTATATGTCAATTTACTTCGGAGTTTATTTGTTAACGAGCGCAGTGACATGAAATTGATAGCTAATACTACATGGATTTCTTCATAGTTTTTGATCCGTCAGTGCAAACGGAGTATCTGTCTCTTTGTTGAACCTCTGCACCTACTTTCGGAAAAGGCAACTACTCTACCCTTTTTTTTCTTTTTCTTTTTAACTTTTGGTGAACTTGAATATCTTTCTTTTAGTTTTGTTATAAGAACCGCCTTAGCTTTTTTGCTTCAGTCTATATTATTGATACTATCCCAATCATATTTTAGTTTCGAATACTCTCGCGATCACTTTTTGACACTCTCCCAGTCCTACTTTAATTCTTAAGCAGGGGCAAAGAATCAATTGTTATCTTCGATAAGCATCTAATTGGGACCAAACTTCTACTTTTCTAATCACCACTAATGATATAGTGGTGGGTCCCTATGCCATGATCAATGCTTGTGGGTAGTTCATGAATTGGATAATGAGAGTTTAGCTACCTGTCTGAAATATTATGATCAATTATGCACTTACTTGTATTATGTGAAGTTTTCTTGTAGTTTTACTTCTAATTTAAGATTCTTTTATGTGTTATCTTACTGATCAGCAAAATTATCGCAATTATACATTGTCCTTATTTAGAGATGCAGGGGAGGATTATGTATCGGAGCGATACATCGACTTTTGGTTCAGGGTCGGTAGTTAAAGTTGGATGAGTACGTGAAGGTGGGCATCAGAAGGTAATTAGAGGCGCGCATATTGGCCTTAGGGCCTGACCGTCTTCATCAAATTCTTACGGAAATAAGTGAGTCTCATTTCAAGGAATTTATTATAACCAAAGTCCTAAACTAAAATGTTGTATTTGTTTTTGATGGGATGCTTGTTGAGGAAAATAGATCTGCAGATGGCTGTGTCATTTACTCTACGCTGGCAGTTTTTTTTTGCAGAGAAAGTGAACAGTGAGTCCCGTGTTCAACTTCACATCCAACCGGTGATTATTTTTTTCCCCCGGAGTTTGAAGAATTCCGACTGCGTTCGAGTTCCGCAACTCAAATTTTCAAGCAAATAACCTCAAGATCACTGTTACGCAGTTGCACACAAAGAAGCAAGCTTGACGGCAAACATCTTCCTCCTTTTCCTTTTCCCCCCTTCACCTGAAAATGCCATTTACGTTGTTTGTGAATTATTGCTTCAGCTACCGACATCAGAATCTTCTTTCTACAATATCCATGTGAAAGCTCCGTTGCTCGTGGCATCATCGGTAGCCTGTCATATTTCAAAGACTTCAAGGCCAGGCAAATCCTTGTCAGCACGAGTAGTGGGAAGACGTAACCATCAAAGTTCTACATAATAGGGGTTTTTTTTTTGTATAAACCCAAAGTCTAACTACCATTTATTTTGAAGTTATTCACTTCCAAAATCACTCTTAAGCCCAAAATTATTTATATAGGATTAAATTGCGCTAAACTTCCAGGAACTTCTGCCATTTTGCAGTAAACCCTCAATAACTTCTAAAACCACACCAAATCCCCAACGGCTATCGGAATTGCATGAAAGCCCCAATAAGTTTTCTCGTTTTGCAAATAACCTCTATGACGGCGTCAGTCCACATATTTAGATCTAAATGTCGAGTGGCGTCATCATGAGGGTTGTCTGCAAAACGCGGAAATTTATTGGGGCTCTTATGCAATTCCAAGAACTTTTACCCATTCATATACTACATTTGTTTTTCACAAGTTGCAATATTTTGTCGTAATGGCCGTGTATGCCAGCCTTCTGAAATGCACATAAAGTAGTTTAGAAGGGTATTTTAGTTAGAAGTAGCCGCAGTAAAACTTTGAGCAGATGACAGGAGCAAATTCATTGCGAAGCAATAATTTGCCTGAACCGCCAAAAAGCCACGGAGATTTGTTCTCTCTCACCTCTCGCCTGCTCATAATTCATGGACTTTGCTTTCTCGTGTGATGTTCAATCTGCTAGGCTACCAAACAAGAAGACAGAACTGTAGCGTACTTGCCTACGGCAATTGTAGCGCATACATCGCAAGAGCTGTGGAAAAAATTTATCTAGGAAGGACGAACAAATTGATCGGTCAGTTTTCGTTTTGTTGCAATTTTGGCTGTTGGTTTTTACTACAAAACAGCTACTTTACAAAAATGCTCTTATAATAATAGTGCCGTTATTCTTATGAATGAGTGCTACCCTCTTATCTATACTCTCAACAACATTTAAAATATGGTCGTTCTATAGAAACTGTCTTTCATTTTCAATTTATTACATAAACCATCTTTAAAGTTTTTTTTTTTGTTACAATCAACCACCTGAGCCTATTTTTAGGTCAAGTTTTTTCGATTTTGCTGTTATAGTTTAGTTATCAAATATCAAATATATTAGAGGGATGGTCCTTAATTGAGGTTAGCTAGATAGGGTCGATTCCTGGAAAAAAAACTTGATTAAAAAATGGGTATAGGAGGTTGATTTCAACAAAAAATACTTTAAAAATGATATATGTATAAATTAAAAATGAAAAGGTGGCTTCTATAGAATTACCTTATATTAAAAGCGATTTCTATGAAAAATCCCAATTTTTAGTACAATACAGTAAATCAAACTATATGAAGTGGCTATTTGAGGTTGCAAGAAAAAGAGGGGAAAACGTGATTTTAATTCTTTTATTGATTTCATTAGCTAAGATTTCTGACCTTTAAATTTATTTGAAACATTATAGACTCTGTTATAGATAATACTTATGTTAAAAAAATTATGTAATAATAAAATCTTAATCTCATCATAAACTTCAAATCTTGTTCATGTCTAAAGCATGGAATGCGATAGATAATATCAAAAAGTAGTCATTGGAGGTTAAGTTTAAAAAATCATAACGCTTCTGAGATTTTGTTAAACGCCCAAAGTAGTGATTTTCGACTTTTTTTCTTTTTCTTTTTGAGGTCAAGTGAAGTGACCAACTACAACTTTATGTTTTAAAAAAAATAAATAATTATCTTGTTACAAGTCACTAATTAACCTTTTTTTTTATCTTACACATCATTATCACTAACAAATCTACAAGATCTCCGTAATTTGGGCTAATTTTGGTCATGGTCTTCGTCACTAACCACCCATCTTAGCTGCGTTTAAGCCTCACTATTAAGGCAAACAAGATCACTAACACAATATTTAATTAACCACTAAAAACTATTATTATAATAATAATTACCAAAGTAAACTCCAATTAGTACCAGCATGAAAGTAACGTAACGCCCTCATCGCTCTCAACCCCAGAAAAGCTTAAACTCCCATCATAACTCCCATTAATTAACCGATTAATTTAATCAACCCGTGTCCCTTTCGCAAAATCTGTCGGTAGCCATTCCTGCAATTACTAGAAAAAACCAGGTCCTGAACCGTAAATTTCGCCACCGCCCATCCCCCCCTCATTTCATACATCAACTTTTCCCGAGCTTTTCCAGGCCGACGGGCGGGAATTGAAAAATTTCACTCTCTTCCCCTTTCCCAATCCCTCCGTCTCTGACCGTAAAAGAGCTTCGAAGTTTCCATGATTCTCCGCGCGCGGTGAGGTTACCGCGGCGAATGCGACCGAGGAGGTAGGCGAGGAGGTTATGAAGGTGAAGAGGTGGGGGCGGGCCGGAGGTTGGGTTACCAGGCCGGTGATCCGGCGGCGCTGGTGGCGGGGATGCCTGCTGACGTTTTCTCTCATCAGCGCGGCGTTTTCGCTGAGCATCTCACTGCCGGCGCCATGAATCTGCCTACTACTATCACAGTATGGGGATCATTCCTCATTTTATTTATTTTCGGCATTTTTGATATATATATATATTATATATATATATATATATAAATATATTATATATATATATATATATATATATATATATATATATATTATATTATATATATAATATATATATATATATTTTGGGGTTAAGTAATTTAATTTTGAATTTTGATTTAGGTTGTTTAGGGTGGAGGATTAGGCCCATGTTGTTCAGAGGGAGCGACACTTCACTGGTGAGCTATTACTTTTTTACTGTTGATTTTTTTAAAAAAGTTTTGCTAGGGGGAACCAAAATATGGGACTAATAGGAGGGACAAATGAGGTGTTCCTCTCCTATTGTATAATGAGTTGATCATTATTAATGATGAGTAACTCATTATGTAATAGGAGTGAGACATCTCACTTGTTCCCCATGTTGTTCCCATATTTAGATCATTGTGGAATTTATTCATTTTTTTTAATTATTAGTTAGATTTTTTTATTCTAGTGATATAGTGCGCTTCTCAACGGGGAATTTTATTAAGAATTAATTACGAGCTGCGTATCTTGAGGCATAGTGCAATTATATCAGCGACCTGGAGTCTGTATATCTAACCCGTGTTTGCTGACTGTATTTACATGGATAACCCTTGAAGTTACTCGTCGTTCGGACTCCAGTGTCAACAGTGTAATTATAGTTATAATCTCAAAGTTAATTGTGTAGGCGTACAAATTCCAGGGTCATCCGTACAGTTATATCATACCTCAGAGTACTTATATAACTGAGGAAAGATATTTTCCTGCATATTTTTTAGCTGCACATTAGTTTGCGATAAAATATCATTTCTAGGATGTCTGAAATGGATTAAATTTGTAGATCATATCTCATGTACTTATGATGATTATAACAATTAAAATAATTTCCAACAAAGGAATGTTATTTCATAATAAAAAATGTTATTTGTCAATGAGGGCACTACTCAGAGAAATTTTATTTGCTAGGCACGGATTGTGACCCATTTGAAGCACATTTTGATTTTCTTAAGTTTTTTTGGGGAAATTAAATGGTATATAGTCTTAAATGAATTGTTTTTGTTATATATTACATATTTGTTAGTTTCTAATAGTACTTTTGTGGTGTGTGAGCGCAGCTATTTAATATTTATCCATCAAATTATTATTTAATAGTTATGTGACATTTTCGTTATTTTGTCATCTTTTGGCATGCATTTATCAATACAATACTATAATCGGCATCTAAGCTACTATAAGTTTGTACCCCTCTTTTGCCCAAAAGAAGTCATATGAAATCAAGGAAACTCTATAAATTTACATGCAATGAAATCTTTAAAGCCTAATTGCCAACATCACGATGCCTGCAGGCCCAAATCAACGAAAACAACATTGTCACGGGGTAAATATACAAAAAAGCCCCTAAGTCTTATTTGAATTTATTTTCTGGGCCCATAATCAAAGGCCTAGTACAACTATACAAAGAAATGATTACTCCTCCCGTTTGTTCCTCCTCCTATCACGCGGTTTCTTTTCCCAACCGCCACCACTTGCGCACGTGCCACGTGTTCAGTCAACACCATGCAAACCCAAATGCTCATGTGGGCCTCATTTATGAGGACCACCAGCTCATCAGGGCCTACACCGACAATATGGGGCCCACGATTTAGCTTGTGAGAGCTTGGGTGCGTCAAATCCGGTCTCGATCGTGTTGACGTGTCAGACCTGCGATAATATTTTGTCGCTTTTTTCTTTTTTACTTTTTTCTGCTTGTTACGGTATGTCACATGCGGGGTCACGTGGGTGGGGGAGCTGTGAGCGCGTTGCAGTGGCGAAACGACGAAGGCGCTGCTGGCTTTTTACGGCTACATTTTAGACAGGGACTTTAAGGACTATTTATTTAAGTCGAAATTGTGGATAACCCCTCTTCTGTAGCTTCAATTGCACTTATCACCACTCAACGATATTACTAGCATTTAAACGCCCCAGATTCACATGATTTGAGAAGAGTAAATTACAGGCGACTCCCTCATGAATCTAGGAGTGTTTAAGTGACTGAATTGCTTGAGGGGTAATAAGTGCAAGTAAAGGTTTGAACGAGGGCGTTATCTGCAATTTGCCATTTATTTGATGAGATGCTAGCTGTTTTATATTTAGAAAAGGGTTAACTGCGATCAGACCCCTGTATTGTCGCCCAATTGCGAATAAAAACTCTATGGTTTTATTTGTCAGAATAGACCCTATAGTTCTATTTGTGCTAATAGACTCCTTGAGGGGATTTTTTTTGATATAATTGCCGTTATACCTTATTAGCATTTATGAGCCTTATGACTTTTAGGGTTAGCTTTTTTTAGAAGGATAAATTGCATATAGCCCCTCTCTCCTCTACGTCTGATCGTATAGATGAAAGTGATTATCTGCAATTTCCCTGTTTTCCTTGTAAGAAAAACACTGGAGTTGGTTCCTCTGGGAAGAGGGAAAGACTAGAGAGGGAATATACTGGTATTTATTATATTCCATTTGGAAACAATGCAAACTAATTTTGTTTTAGTGTTCTCTGCTCCACGACGAGAGTATCCAAATATCTTAGATTCATTTGTCAAGTTTCTAGGGTAACTGATCCAATAAGTAGACTCTTTATAATAGAGAGGATCACAATCCAATGTCACAAACCCTTAACCGGAGATTTTTTTTTTTTTTTTTTTTGGGGGGGGTGGGGGGGGGGGGGGGGGGGTGCGTGGTGGGGGGTGGGGTAAAGAAATACTAGACATATATAAAATTGTGATCCAATGTCCACAAACGCCTTAACTGGATTTTTTTTTTTTTGTGTGGTGTGGGGGGGGGGGGGGCGTTAAAGAAATGCTAGACATATATAAAATCTTTGGAGGTGTTTAATGACTTTCGGAAAAGTTATTTGTAAAATATATGAAGATACTGTAATTTTGTTTTAATTCCTTTGTACATGTATTTATATCGTTTTAATTTGTGGTAGGAACTTATGAAGGAGCTAAGAAGAGTGTACATTGACGCAGAGGAAAGAGGTGAAGTACTGGATGAAAAATTCATAGAATCAGCACCAGAATCGCTGGACCATCTTCTTGCAGAAATTGCTGGTGCAGCCGCTTCATACCAGCATATTGACATCAAAACTTTTCTTCTCAAGACCAAGGCCATGGTACTTGTCTCTCCACCTTGCCAAATATTGTTGCAAGTTCATCTTTTCTGCTGCATTTGATCTTCACCATTAGTAAATTGTGAAAACACCACTCATGATTTGTAGTGATGACACCGAAGCTCCCTAAGGTCTTAAAGTAACATTTTGTCCTTTTATTCTCAATTTCCAGTGAAACGATCATCTTTTTTGATATAATAAAAGACATATTTAAATGGAAACACAAATTGGAATGGAGGGGTTGAACTATCACTTTGTATCTATGACTCCTGAAAAACTTAGCTTGGGAAGATTTTTCTGTAATTTATCATTGTTAGTTATTCTGCAGGAATTCTAAGATAGCGGTTTGGAGAGTAACTCCGATAAGGCATCTCTGTCGCATTTCTAGTTGGACTAGAGATTTTCTTTCTTTGTTTAAAGGACATGAGAGTTCTTTCCGAGTGGTGCACGAAATTTCTGGTTTTGGGGTGGTGTTCTCATGTTAACAGATCAACATAAGAAATGTTGTAGTGGGCCGATGGTTCCTAAAACCTAAATCACACACCTAACTCACATGAGCCTTTTGGTCCCAAAATGTGGCATCATTTTGTTCCTTGTGTCTGTGACACTATTTGCGTTGTGTGTGTATGTGATGACTTGGATGTAATAATGCAAAGAATCAGATGAACAAGTGCCATGGAATAAGTCTAGTAGAAAGTGTTTATGAAGCATGTGAGCTTGTTTAGCTGTGAGCGGATTACTAGATGTGAGGAGATTTTGTATTACTGGATGCAATAATGCAGAGATCCAGGCAAAAGACTAGCATGCAATTAAGTCTAGAAAGTGTTTATGAAGCATGTGAATTTGCTTAGCTGCGAGTCGATTTCTTGAATGGAATTCTTGAATCCTTCTTAGAGCTGAATGTTTACTGGGATTAGAGAGAAGAGGGAGGGGAGAGACTGAAGGATACGAGGAAAGAGTTAAATATAAAGGAACCGTTGAGTGTCTGAAAGTATTGTCTTTATATCTTGAACTTAATAAATTTTCTTTTTAAATCTGCAAACTTTTCAAAAGAGTTTTTAAACTCTTCAAAATAAATAATTAAATAAATAAAATGAAATAATTAGTTCTAGTCCCCTGTCCTTTTACTTGAAAGTTTAGTATCTTTGAATTCCTGTTCACTGAGAAAAATAAGGAATGGTAGTAAATGATGGGAACAGGAACGTCAGTCCTTTAAAAGTAAGAACAAACTGAGTTTGTTGGATCCTTTTCTCCAAAATCCTAAAGCAACACATAAAGTAAAAAGAAGCCAATGAGTAAAAGCATTCATTAACTGGAATTGTTGTCATTCAGTTTCTAATTTTCATACCTAGCAACAACCCTGTGGTACTAAAATTAATTTCCTTATGTTGGGGTTTGAGGGGGAGGGGGTTGAGAGTTCATTTTAGCTAGGATAGGTGAATACGTTGGCAAATTAATCCACTAAATAATCTAGTCAGTATATACTCATGACTAGTTATGTTACAAATTGAAAAAATGAGAATCGGTTCTTTATAACTAAACATGACCCTAAAAGAATGGAACATGGTCATAAAAATAAGTCATGGTAAAGAGTGCAGTTCCATGTCTACATGATGTTCTAGTTGTTCCTAGCTCAGTTTTGCATTTACCTATGAATTGAATAACTTACAAATTCTGGTATTTGAAGATGATTGGCTGGCTGTTTTCAAAGCAGTCATTTTGACGAGTAAAAGTTTTCGATTCAATTATAACTTTATACCATTATTTATTGCAGTTTTTTTCTATATGAAAAACAGCTTATAAAGATGGATCACAAAGTCCAATTATCTAGGAATCAGGCATCAATATATCAACATCTGGCTTCAATTGGAGTACCAAAGAGCATACACTGCGTCACTCTGAATCTAGCAGAAGAATATTTAGTAAATGCCATTGCTCGAACTTCCTTGCCGCTACCAGAACATTCATATCGCCTAACAAATGCCAATTATCTCCACATTGTCATCATAACCGACAACATTCTCGCTGCTTCTGTTGCCATCTCTTCCACTGTGAAAAGCTCCAAGGAACCTGGGAAGTTTGTGTTTCATATTGTAACTGATAAGAAAACCTCCAGCGCAATGCATGCTTGGTTTTCCCTCAACTCAGTTTTTCCTGCTGTTGTAGAGGTCAAGGGCTTGCACCAGTTTGATTGGCCACCTTATGCTAGTGCAAGAGTTATGGTGACCGTAGAAGAGGTTCATCAGGGGTTAATGGCTTATCGAGAGTATAGTGGAGGTGATGAGGATTATAGGAGGCTTGAGGGTCTCAGTCCGAATTCATTTTTGCTGTTAAATTATCTAAGAATTCATCTCCCAGAGGTACGGATTCAATCTATTTCAATGATTCTGTGGTTCCAGTTTTTCTGGTTGAATAATCAGCAATACATCTAGGCTTAATTGCGGATAAACCCCTGTAGTTCTATTGTTGCAGGTGGGACCCCTGAGTGATCTTCTTGACTCTTTTACCCTGAGAAGGATAAATTTGTTCTTTTTTGACAGATAAACCTGCTGAGGGTGAGAGAGTCAAAACAATTTCACTCAGGGGTCTATCCGCTATTGGGCGATAGTACAGGAGGTATTTCCTCAACAGTAGAATTACATGGGGAGTCACTATCCGCGATTGGGTGATAGTACAGGGGATTATCAGTAATTAACCCTTATATTTAACTGCTTATTATATATCATTTGCTATATTGTTTTGTAGAGGAAGAAAAATATTTGAACTCTCAGTCTCTGAAATATTCCTTGAAGAAGCAAATTAAGTCCTTGTATTGTGTTAATCAATTATTCCATGGAGGAACATGCAAGCATGGGAAAAAGTAAAGAATAAAATACATAAATAGAAATTTTGAAGGATTTTCTTTTTAATTTTTGATTAAAATATATAATTACCTCCTCTAGCATCGTTGAATACCTTAACCTCTTTATTGCTTCATTTGAAATCTCTCTCTCTCAGAATTCATGTTTCCTACAAAATTTTCCTGACACTCAACTTGAACCTATGTGTACAGCTCTTCCCAAATCTCAAAAGGGTAATACTTCTGGATGATGATGTCGTCGTTCAACGTGACTTGACTCCATTGTGGGATCTCGATCTCAATGACAATATCATTGGTGCAGTTGGTCTAGAACACAACAGAGAGAGCCATTGCCCCGGACCAATGCTTGGTCACTACTTCAATTTCTCAAATTCTTTACTTCCATCTGAACTAGAACAAGATCAATGTGCATGGTTAGGGGGCATGAACATATTTGATCTTGAAGCATGGAGTAGGACCAATATAACAGCAACCTTCCAGCAAATGCTTCGATTGGTATGTTTCTCTCTGCGTATGTATACCTGTGCGTGTGTCAGTTTATAGCGTAAATTACAGAAAATCCCCTAACGTTTGTATGATTCACAGAAAATACCCCCTAAAAGTGGATTTCAATTTTCAAAGTTAATTTGGATGTAAAAACATAGTAATAGAACGTGATAATTACATCTATGCCTATATCAAAATTTATATGATTATATTATTTAAAATTATTTTTTATATCAAAAAGGGCTGATTGCAGATAGACCCTTGTACTATTGCCCAATTTGCAGATGGATCCCCTGTAGTTCTATTCTTGTAGATAGACCCCCTTAGTGAATTTTTTTTCACTTTTTGCCTCGAGAGATATATTTGCGAAAAAATAATTTTCTCTTTCTCTGAGTGTAACGGAGTCAAAATTTTCACTCACAGGGTCTATAAGCAACAATATAATTGTATATCTGCAATTGCGCGATAGATAGTACAGGGAATCTCCCCACAATTAACCCTATAAAAAAATTGATGATTATTTGACTAAAAGTTACAGAGAAGGAGAGTAAAGTGTTACTTTTGGAACCTTAGAGGTATAGTCAGCCTTTTCTACAAGCCATGGGTTGGCTTCCTGTAACTTACCCTATATTTTACCTGAAACGGTGAAAACCTCAATCATGACTGAGTGTTTGTGTGAGTGCATGGGTGGATGGGCGTGTACGCATGCATGTGCATATGTGTAAGTTTATAGCATAAATTGCAGAAAATACCCCTAAAGTGACACATTAAACCCTTCTTTAAATTTTCGAAGTATGCTAGAAAACTATAGTGATAAGACAGGATAATTACTCTATATCTATATGAATGATAAGGGTTAATTTCAGAAAACCCACCTTAACTGGGGGTTTTGCAACCTCCTTGAACTATTTTAATTATACGAAACACCCTGAACTTTGTGGGCTTTTGCACTTAACTGCCTTGAGCTCCTTTTATTCCATCAAACCCCGTTGGATGTATGTTCACTTTACCACCCTATTCGCCTCCCCACCCACCCCACCCCAAGACAGGATTTACCCACGATCCCCGCCGAAGTTAGATTTTTGCGAAAGCTATAATAGTCACATGCCACAACGTTCAATCAAAACACACTAACACCCACAAGGTAACACATAGGGCAAACATCGCAATTTAAGAACACAAGTGTAACGTGTTACATGCCACACACGCGATAAAAAAGACAAAATATCCCTAAGTCCTAAAGTATCACCCTTGCTTGGCACGTGACACGTTAAACTTGACAGTGTTAGTTTGGGGTAATTTGTGAAAAATATTCATGGGATTTAGTGAAATAAAAGAAGTTTAGGGTGGTAATGTGCAAAACCGCTCAAATGTTGGAGAGTTTTGCGGAATTAATGTAGTTAAAGGGCACTATCTGCAGAGTTTCAGGGTTATATAAAAATTGATTAATATATCCAAAAAAATGAAGAAGAAGATTATTTGCTAAAATTTGAAGAGTAAGGGTGGTAAAGTGTCACTTTTAAAACCTTAGGTGGATAGCCTGTCATTGCTAAAAATTAACCATAAGGGAGATTTTCTACATTATATCCTGTATATCACTCGGAGGATGTAAATCTCAATCACTCTCTCTTTTTCACGCAGAACCGTGAATCTGGGTTTTTACTATGGCGTTTAGGCTGGCTACCACCAGCGATAATTGCTTTCAACAGTAAAGTACATCCAATTGACCCTTCATGGCAATTGCCAGGATTAGGGCAACAATTGCCAGCTCCGGAGACCCTAAAAACTTCTGCAGTTCTTCATTTCAGCGGTCCAAGAAAGCCATGGCTTGAGATTGGTTTTCCAGAGCTAAGAAATCTATGGATGAATCATCTTAACCACTCTGATGAGTTCTTAACGAGCTGCAGAGTTGTGTAGTGGAGGAAATTCGAATACTTTATATATAGATGGCATATGTATTTTTTTTTTTTTTGTTGTAGATAGAGTAGTTAGTCTTGAGTAGGGAGAAGAGGGTATTGCCTTCAGTCTCTGCTTTAGATTACCTCTGTTTACCGTTTTATTTGTTACGGAGGGCTTCCAGTCAAGTTGTATATATGGAGGGAGAGGGCTTAAAGAGGAGCTCTTCTAGGAGATATATATATATATACACGAGAAATATACCCGTATACGTGTATTAGTTCTCGAAATAACAACTAAGTTGATATAAAAGGATGCTTATCGATGTTCTCTCTTTGTCATGTCTTCATATATCTTTTTTTTTTAAAATATATGTCATACGGTTTTGACTTTCAAATGATTATCAAGTTATTATCTTTTTGGAGATGTTTAAGTGTTTAAGCTTTTATGAGGGCTGACCTCACTATACAAAAGTTAGCAGGCATGTTGAGGAGCCCAGTTTGGAAACCTGTGGTTTTCTTTAATTTTACGGCGCTATTTTACTCAGATTTGAGGAAACTTTCTTTCTGTACTGTTTTAGGTTTGACGATGAGCCGATAATTGCCTGTGGTATATATATCAGAACTTACATTGTTAATTTTGAGGATTTCCTGATAAAAAATTGTTGGGAGTTAAGTTTCATTTTTAAAGTTATTGAAGGTTAAGTGAAAAAAAAACGTCCAAAATTATTGGGGGATTTTGTTAAAGTTGCCCTAACTAAAACTATTGATTCCATCTTAATTTTTCAAGCGTAAAAACTATAAACCAATTAGAAAGATAAGAAATAATCCACTTATTTAAAAAGAAACTAAGTAACGAAATTCGCCCTTTCTGAGCATTAAAAATAGCTCGAAAATTACTACAACTGGTACCTGTAGACAAAAAAAAAGATCATCTAAATTCAGCCAAACTTCTATTTTCGTTTTGGAAAATCATTTCAATCATACAGTACTCCATCAATGCATGCATCACTCGATTGATTTCTTGATCTTCGAAACAAACAACCCAAGGTCAACTTTAAGGCATCTTGCCAAGGTTATAAATAATTATAATTGATAACATTAAACTAAGATTTACTTCTGGGTGCTAAATGCAACCGTTGACATGTTCCGCGTTTGAATCCAAGACCGTCCACCATGGACACACGTGGCGACGGTGACGTGTACATTATCATCTACAAGACTAGAGTACGAGTTTTATTTGGCTTCTATAAATGCTTGCCTTCAGTAAATAACCCAGTCTTCGCAATTTGCAATTAGGGGTTGTTTGGTTTGTTTTTTAATTCGGTGGAAAAGTTTTACACCGCCTCCACATCAGATTTTTCGTGGCCACGTAGGATATAAGTTTTCCGTATGTTTTTTTCCCATCTTTGGTTCGTTAAGGATGAAGAAGGGAAACTCGGTAAAAATCGCCGTCATATCAGATTTTTTTTCTCTCCCCTAATTCCTTCCTCAACCTCGTGAAATCGACGAAAACTGCAGCCACGTCGGCTTTTTGCCATATAAACAAAAGTTTTCGCTTTTTTTCCATGCGAACCAAACACAAGAAAAATAAATACATTGGTTTCCCATCATTTTTTTGTGCGAACCAAAGCGAAACAATCTATTTCTTGGAAAAGTTTGGAAAACTCAAAACTTGTGTTTTTGTACATGGAAATGCATTTCCCTATATCTGAAAACTCAAAACTTGTGTTTTTGTACATGGAAATGCATTTCCCTATATCTAGGAAACGAACCAAACAGTCCCTTAAAAGCAGCCAACAAGAAAGGTAATTAATTGTCCTTAAAATTTAGGAAAATCTCATTGATAAAACAGTCATTTTAAGAAATTTATGCTTTTAATCAGTATATCCCACGTGAACACGCAACCGCGGTGAACTACAAAGCATAGTGTCATGAGCATGGTATTATCCTTTACTGGAGTCAATATCTATCAATTTACAAGAATATGCTGTAGTTTTTTCTTTTTAGAAGAAAAGGAGAATATCTTAAAAGTTCTAAAATTTTTCAATGGAAAATGGAGTGCAACGATTTATTGTTTCATTAAAAAGAGACAGTGGTACCCAAAAAAAAAAGGCTTAAATGTAGACACTTGGTTCTAAAAAAGAAAAGGATTAAGGGGTTAATTGGATTGTTAATCACTAAATTTATCGTAATTAGACCTTCATACCTACATTTTACTTAATCAGATGGCAGATTTTGTAAGCAAATATTAATTGGATTGCTAGTCACTTCTGTCTTATTTTGTCAATTTATGTTATTCATTTTTAAGCAATACAACCTACTCAATGTGTCACAAGATAATATTTTTACGAATAAACTACTAAATGCAATGTAATTACCCAATGCAAGTTGCCCAACAGTCACGAATTTTCATCTCCCTAAGTGATGCACATATGAATATATTTGTTATGTTAATGATCAAAACTTTTTTTTAATATCACATCACCATAATCCGTTGTGTTAATTGATGAAAAATATAAGAAGTGACTGTCAATCTAATTAGTATTTAATTACATGATCAATCATCTAAGAAATTAATACATGTATAGGAAGGTGCAATTAGAAGCCTATATACAGTACCTAATGATCCATTAACACGGATTAATAAAGTCACTTTATTCTCAAATTTGAAATCGCAGACAATATCCTTGCTCAAAACTCCAAAGAGGTGAGGAATTAAGAAATTAAGAATAATTTATATGATCTAACTTTAAACAACTTCAACTGAGGGGCAATTTGTCAATTAATCCTAATCGGGTCAAACCTGCAACTCAATTTGGTTGGGGCTGCTCTCTGCGAAATTCAACAACTAGAACTTTCATATTTCCAGCAGCATCAACTAACAACATTAAAAATGAAAAATAAAGCAAGCCTTCATCTTTGCTTAGAAATAATAGTAGCAATAAAAAAACAGGTGGTTATATTTTTGGACAAATTTTCAAAACCAACCCAATTAGAAACTTAATTGCAAAAATCGACATATTTCCAAAATAATAACCAAAATCGACACAGTTTCAGCCAGTTGGCTGAAAATGGATCGATTTTGGTGAAAAAAAATATAAAACTTCACGTGACTTCAAGTCCCGTGAAATTTAAGCCCTCGACAATCAAAGTTGATTAGGGGTATGTAAGTTCACGGGGCTTGAAGTCCCGTGAAAGATTTTAATTCCGCCAACTTCACGGGACTTGAAGTCCCGTGAAGTTAGGGCTGGGCCAATATAAGGCCCACGCGATAGATATTCGTGTTTACCCACTGCGGTATCTCTCTCTCTTCCTCTTCATTCTCATCGTTCACCCTAGACCCCTACAGTCACCGTCTTAGCCAACCATCACCGCCGGTGATCGATCCCGCCGTCGTCACGGTCGGAGATCACCGGAAATTAGGGTATCAACAAATTTTAGGTAAAATCTTAAAAAAATTCTCCTAATTTTTATATATTCTCACTATTTCATACCAATAACTTGTTTAACTTAAGATTTTGAAATAAATTTTGAAACATTTGTGAATTTTGTGAAGAAATAATAAAGAAATTTCTGTATGAAGTTAGAGGAGAAATTATCGAAAATTGTAAAAATTAGTGAATTGCATGACTTACACAAACTTGCATTAACCATTCCACATGACGGAGGTCTAAAATCGATATTAGAGGAATTAATGGTTACATTTGGTTACATTAACCAATTTACGTGACGAAGAAAAAATAAAGGCAATGAAGAAAAAAATAATATTTTCTTATGTTTTTCGTGTATTATTGAAATTGGATTTTTTTACTCTTCAGAGGTAACGATGAACGATTGAATCGTAATTTTTTATACATATGATGGAAAAATTAACTACCTCGAGAATAACATGCCTGTGTATGAAGGAGGTGTAACGAAGCCGTTGTTTATATCAAATCATGTACTTTCGATGAATTGATTAATGACTTACACAAACTTACATTAACCAATTCACGTGAGTATCACATCAACGTTATTTGCAATTATCCTGTTACGGGGAACATAACAAGTGTCATTCAAATCTCGAGTGACTACGATATGAGTCTTATTAGAATATTGCATGACAAGAAGTGTTTGATGGAATTATTTATTGAAAAGCATCACAAAAATTTGGGCAAATCGGTGAATCATGACAAAGTATACTCTCGCATGTTGGAGGACCTTGAAGTTGACTCCGTCGGCTTTTTATCTCTGCAACAAGATATACGATGGACACAATCACAATACTTGAGTAGTCATTCGCTTGTGGACACTCCAAAAGCCTTCGATGATAGCGTTCCCCATCAAGATATAATGCCTTCCATAGGAGTGAGGATAGAAGATGATAATGCAAGTGTCGAATCCAAGGATGATGATAAAGATGATGGCTTACAAATCAATATCAAGACGTGTTTGATAGATCGTGATGAAGGGGACAACTAATATATTAACGGGTGTTACTCTAATAATGAATATGTCTTGTTAGAGGATCCGCCGCCCGATGAACTTCATGGAGAAGAATGGATTGATAACTCTAAGATGACGGAAAACGGTTTTGTATGATGACCACTAACGGTTCTGAGAGTTTCAATGGTGTGCTTAGGGGAGCACGCGATATGCAAATACAGTCACTAGTTGCAAAAATATTTTACAGACTTAATAAATTCTTTCTCAAATGACGCACACTTAGTGCAAAAATCCCGTCAAAACTGGCGCCGAAGGTTAAAGGCATATTAGCGAATCAGGTTGTGAAGGCTCGATCATTTTGTGTCGTAAGATACAGTTTTAGTTAATGAGAGGTCATTGATGGAATATAACATAGAGAAAGTCGCTCTTACAAAGTTAATATGCTAGTAGATCACAGTTGTACATGCACTTGCAATATACCATAATTACAATGACTTCCTTATTACCATGTTGTCGTGGCTTGCTCGAATCTACACGGTGGTGCGAGGATTTCACATTATACATTCGTCACAAATTGGTATTCAACTTACAACTATCAACAAACGTACAAAGAGTATTTTCAGCCAGCATATGACAGTCAACATTGGACACAAGGTGGGCCACAGATATTACCTTCTTTGTATAAAAGATCATGTAGGCAACCACGTTCCGTACGAATTAGAAATAATATGGATGACGGTAGAGAAGGAATTAGGAGAAAAAATAAGTGTAGTAGATACGATCAACCGGGCCACAACAAAAGCAGTTGTCCAACTAGGCTTAGGCGTTGATTATTCGTTGACAGTTGTATGGAATATGTCTCTTATGATTTTTATAATATTGTAGGCTGTCTAAAAATCACAATAGATA